GGAACATGAAATGGAAACTTGGACTATATAGGGGTATATGTAGGTGATGCCAAGATTTCTGCATGAAACTACGTACCCTAAGTATACTCTACGGTCAAGTAGGATCTTGAGGATCAACAGTATAACTGGCCTGTACACTCAAATCGATAACACAGCTGCCAAAGTGTGGTTTAAGGCTTATAGGGTTTAGGGATTATACTCCCTTATTCCCTACTAACAGCCAGTAAGTTACGGCTTGCCCATTTTTTCTGTGAGGGCCTAGGCGTTGCGACAGGCCGCAAGTAGTCAGTGACGGACCCAGGCTTACAACATGTTCTCCTAATTCACTGAGGCTCAGTAGGGAATAAGGGAATATAATCCCTATGCAATCCCTTTACAAAACTATTCCCTTATTGCCTAGTAACCCCCCCAGTAAGCTAAACCTGCAGGCTAGAAGATTGAAGTCCTGAATCTGCAGTTCTTGAGTAAGGTTGGCAGGCAGCGCATCAACGCAGAGGACACTGATAATGTTGGCATTCTGCAGGACATGCATACAGTCTGCACATAAAGGCATACACCGAGAAATGCGGTCTTCACTTCACCAGGCTTTCTTGCATCCTTCATGCCTACTCTGTCTGGAACCTGGTCAAGCACAACTTCATCTACACATCGAGTTATACTGAGTTATACTCAAGTAAAAAAAACACACCGTTCGAGGCCAGCCTGGATACTGTAAGATGGAGGTGAAGGGTCTTCGAATGAAGTCCGGACCAAAGCTCTCTGCATAGCCCTTTTTAGGAGTTCCATGGTTGCTTAGAGACTCTAGCTGGTTTCAAGTCCGTGCTCTGGAAAATCACAGCCTCTACCCCAGTCCCTGGGCACCAACCTCACCTGAAGCCCCACTACTCCAAATGTGATCCCATGTGAGCAATTTTCTGTAGTATCCCCCTTCATAACCCCTATAATACTCCCTATAATCCCTTATGGAACCCCCCTCTAAGGAGTTTAGACTATAGCTCATGTCATCCCATACCTGCATGACTGCTTGCAGCACCCGCCGCTTCCTTAGCACATCCAAGCAGGTTGGCCAAAGCTTGCTTGGAGGTTCAGCAGGCCGAGTAAGTAGCTAGTTACTTATGTTGGGGTTATATTAGGGTTATACAGGGGCAGCTGGTACCTGCAGTTAGAAGGTGCCAAACACATTTCTGGCGTTCTACCACCATTGCGCGTTGTAGGTAACCCCCTACTACTTACAATAGGCTGTTTAGACCTTTCACCTTGGAGGTGCCAAGTACATGCATGGTAAATCCTTGAAGGTGTTTTCATGTATCTTTTGCCCTTGCGTCTTTGGGCCTCACTTCTAGGAAAAGTCCTTCTAAGCCCAGGCTGGTTTCATATCATTGCTACTATTATGTACTGCTATCTTATATTTACTCTTCTCAACATGATCCTTGTCATGACTAGTATTATGACTGTTTTTGCTATATTCTTCTACGCTGGCCATCTGCGTGGGCAGCGAGCACATCCCCGCGGGATCCTTTCACAGGTAGCAAGTCCAGTCCAGGGGACAGGATCTGGGTGCGGACTTCTACGGAATTTCATGAAAAATTAATTCTGGAACAAAAAGAGCTGCTTCATTGTAAACCCCTCCTTACAGCTCATACTTTTGAGAAACTCAACAATGGAGTCATGTGAGGTGGGTTGGCTAGGCCTGTGGTTAAAGTACCCAAGCATGCACTAGTAGCAATTCCTGAGCACGCTGCGCTCGCAGTTTGCCCCTGGCAATCTTCAGTTTAGTGTTTTCAGAAGTGGGGGTCTGTAGGTAGGTGCTTAGGATCAAGGGCGTCTAGGGTTCGTAGCTTTAGGGTAAGATCGCTGTTAGGGTTGCTAGGCCCGAGGTCTCTTGATACTTATGCTTTGCCAGGCTTGCCATCTGTTGGGATTTGAGGTTAGAAGTGTCTTGGATTTAGCTAGCGCTATCCCCCTGGGCACATAGCGTTGGCAATCTAGATGTTCAGCTGCAGCTACTCCTTGAGCTTCCGAACTTCATGTTACCGAAAGGATCCACGTACCCAACCATTGGGGGTGTTCGTTGCACTGTACCCTTAAGCCTTTTTGAGTGGGTACTTGGACCATTGGCGTACTCTGTTCCAACAGCTCTGTGCATGTGGCTGGTACCGCGGCCAGGCTTGCGCATGTCTGGTGCCAAGCCATCTTGGCCACACAGTTGCTACTGCGCAAGGGTTGAACGGTTAAGGGTTCAGGGTTTAGTGTGCTTTATGAAGTGGAGTCATGTATCATCTGGGGTAGGTATTTGCTTTTTAAATGTTACTCCATGATAGTGAGGAAGACCCTGACTTGCTACCATATTTTATGCTTGGGATTCCATACACGGAATTAAGCGCGAGAAGCAGAACGGCACCAGCCCTGACCATACCTATGCTCACCCCTACCACTACATACTGGTGGTTAGTAAGGAATAAGGGAATAAAATCCATATATCGCATATATAATGTATTGCCTGATTCCCTACTAACCCCTCACCAAGACTAGCGTGGCTCCAATCAACCCTAAGCTTCTCCCAATAGCATCCCCAACAATTCCCTATGATCGACCAATCTCGCTATGTTCCCTCCCCAGAAACATGCAATGCTACTAAAAACTCGAAGAAGAAAGGTCTTTGGGGCCACCCTTATGAAGTCCCAGGTCTGTTTGTGGAGGGCAATGGTTCTGAAGAACTCCTCTACGTGAAGCGCGACGGCCAGGCGGGCTGCTTTCCCTGTTGTTGCCGTTGGCGTTCTTCTCCTCATTTCGCATTTTTGGGCTTGCCCCTTACAGAATTGCAGAGCACTGCAGAACCCCTATGAGGAAGAGTACTCTCTCATTCTTGGGTTGCTTTCCATTTAGATTCGGACAGGAATTCTAGGCTGCGCCAGAAAGTGACTAAGCGTAGGTAATACAGGAGTCCGAGAGCATCAAGAGAAGAGCCCGAGTGGCTTGGCTTCTAGAAGAATGTGGGGCTGTTTGGATGTAATTATAGTACAGCGCAGTTCACCTTATGGTTACATAAGCCTTCGTAATCCCTGACACATCTCGAACCCAAGCCACAGTTTTCATGTCATTTTGAATTTGATTTTCCTTTTGATTCTCCATTATTTGGGGTGTTATCCTAAAGAGTCCCTTTGATATCAATTTTCTCTTTCCAGTTGACTCTCCTTTATTTCGGTAGTATCCCCGTATCCCATACAATCCCAATATAATCCCTACACAACCCCATGTATCATATCCCTTTAATATATCCCTCTATAGTCCCTAAACACTAAAGCCTAAACGCGATCCCTTTGGTATCCGCCTGTGCAGGTTCCCTAAACCCTAAACCATAAGCCCTGCAGGGCCTTGACCTCCCTCCCAGGGGACAGCAAGCAGAAGCTTGCTGCCCTCCATGGTGTGTGTCATAAGATAACCCAAAATTATGAGGTACCTTTAAATGGGGTTATAGGGGGTAGATAGGGATATGTAGGGTTTAGGGTTTCCCAAAATAGTGCTACCTTTGGGTTTCCCTTAACACGGATTATAATGTTTACCGGTCTTTATTGGGCTTCTCCCCCTATGTAGGGCAACTACCAAATTTAGAAGTGGAACCAGAAGGAGTTACAAGTAGGAATGGCTTGCTTCCAGACCGGTCCTGCATAGCGAGATGCGCCTTGTACTGCGCATGCACAGACAAGTTCAGATCCTGCAGAATGCGCAGGTTCTAATAGTATTAATAATAAAGGTTGGAACAATAATAGTACTAATAGCAGTATCAATATTTGTATTTGTAGAAGCAATAGTACTAGTAAGGTACTGATAATCGTATTACTTGTGGGGTTTCAGATGCCCGGCCTCGTGGTTAGGGTATGATGACTGACGGCATGAAGTATCTGCCGGAATGTCGCAGAATGTTGAGCCAGCTTGTACATATGACGTGGACTGTGCTGCCAGATACTCTCAGCCACATTGCTGGTATTTCTCAATTCCAAACTGCAGCTCCCCCAAAACAGGCATAAACCCTCATTCAAAGACACCCGCGGTGGCTTCCCCTTCTACAGGTCCACCAAGAGCTACACTGCCAAGCATAGCGAGCACTTTCACAACGACTGCTGGCGAGGAATGGCTAATTATTGCAAACGACTGCAACCCATTCCTAGGTCCTAGGTCCTGTTACTGTTTAAAACCTGTCCATTCCCCACAGAACCTTTGTATATGAGGCGGCACAACTTTCCATAACTTGTTTCAAGCATGCGGGAAATTGCCACTCCCTCATCCCCCAGACCTTAAAGCCCTCTATAGCCCTTGAAACCCTTATCCTAGGCTCCAACTAGCTCAATGTAAGCAACATTCATAGACCTTGCAGTTTGGAAAAATATTTCGGACCTTGAGCCCCAGCGTAAATCCAAAACCCTAAACCCGGAATCCCGGTTCCGGCCTCAATCCGACACCACTCCTTCTCTATCAAATGGCCTGAAGGCTTAGGCGGTTTTGGGGCTTCGGTTTAGGTTTGGGTTCTTTAGAGTTCATGGCATTGAAGTAAGGCTGGTGCACAAGAGGTCTTATATACGGGGTGTGGATGGGGGGTGGTAATTCCAAAGTAATGGTCACTTTTAGCTTTTAACACTTGCGGTGCCCAGAAAAGTATCATGATTTTGACAACCTACCACGTAGGGGTTTCGATCTTCGGATTGTTCCGGCTTAGGCTTCAGCAGTGCTGGTCGGAGGCTCTTAGGATAGACCGTGTGGATGGGCCGTGCATCTTAGGTGTACACAAGAAGCACTCTTATGCGGAGGCAGAGTACGAAGGACTTTGCAAGGCAGCTTTACTGTGGACAGGCACGGCTCATGATTGGAGAGCATTCCCACCCGCAAAATTACTTGCTTCTTTATTTTCAAGGCTTATGTCAGTCAAGTTGATTGAGAATGCAAGCTGAGACTACTGTTAGCAAGCTGGAGATACGGAAGCTTTCGCGCTGTCCATGCCGGCTGGCTCTTCTTCTGTCCATCTACGCGTGCGGGGTCTTTCTTCTTGACAAACACCCATCTACAAATTCTGTATCTAAGTATCACAGACCACTGCTCGCCAGGAGCTGCCAAAGTGCCAGTGCTTTAAAGGACAGAAACCAAGCAAATTCTGTTCGTGGCTTCTAAGATCTCAGCGCAATTACACTTTTCGGTGGAGCCTAAGAAGGCAGGATCAACGTTGATTCCCCACCTTGCATAATCCGCATCTGCATACTAGGACTGCACAACTAGCAAGACACAAGCACCTGCTACATCAGGCCTGCAACTAGCATTTGAGTGCCATCTGGATGCCCTCCCTTTAGGTCCCTTTTTGACCTTTAGCCAAGAAGCCCTAGCTCATACACTCTCATAAGACTAGATGCTTAGAAGTTGTAAAAAAACAGCTTTGCAGCAACTCCTGGAATGAGCATCTGTGCCCCGGACAGCGTTTCCGCTTCATGGCAAGGTAGCTGCGTATGGTCTGCTGGATGCTCTGGCAGCGGAGAGACGGCAATGAGGGCAAATAAGATTCAACTGAGGAGTATGCTAACACATACACACCTGCATAGATGGATACACACTTAAGTACTTATTTACACATGTCACACAGCGGATCGCTCAGGAAGCACATCTGAAATCATGTGGCGTTTTAAGGCAAGTTGCATCCAGGTCGTTCTTTGAGGTAGTTTGGGCTCCGCGGGTTCATCAACATTCGGAACTCCTTCAGGTAGAATCTTCTTGACAGGGATACCGGGTGCTTCGCAGGCAATGAGTGAAACCCGTCTCCGACGCGGGGCCGTTCTTTACAGTGAGTATGCGGAGTATCCACAAGCATGAAGGGGAAAGATGCATCTCTTGCGCATACTTGGACCCATTAGTGTAGCTACCACTTTCTGGCTTGAGCTTCCAGAGAAGCCTGCCATGCCCAAATCTCTGCAATGAATATCTGATCACCTTGCAGCTAGAGTGTACAGTCTCGGTTGAATTTCACATCACCTCCTGTGGCCTCTCCAGACAGGATCTTACTGGGTGGCTGTTAAGGATCTTAAATTACGGTACCATCATATGGCTATATAGTAAATAATATAGTTTCCTTATGACAGTAACTCACTTCAAATTCTAAGGTTAGAAGTATGGGCCCGGGGGCCTTAGGCCTTGAAGGGGATTTCTAGGGCCCTTAAGGGTACTTATAGGGTTTTTGGTAGGTATTTAAAGATCCCAGGCTTAAGGGCCTACACTAACGGCCCATGGTTTCAACCTTAGACAGGTACTTCGACAGCAACCCAGATTAAGATAGCTGCTTTCCAAGTCCTTCATCCATATGATCTTTCCTAGGGAATCTGGAAAGCCGCCTTGCTTAGACTCTCAGTTGTGAAAACCAATAATACAGAACCTCCAATCCCTTCCTGAGCTCTACCTACTCAAATACAGCTATACTCTGAGCCCGAAACTGGCCATATCCTGAAAACGCTAAACCATGTAAAGCCTCTGTTCTAAACACGTGAAATCTAAATCCTAAGCCCTGAATCCTCCATCCTGTGTTGTCCGCCGGCAAGGCCTTCACGTGGGCGACAAACTTCTTCATCGTGCTGCGCATGCGAACCCACTCCCCAATCTGTCGCAGAAGCGCCTAGGTTTGGGTTCTAGGGCCGGCCATACTTGGGTAGGTAGGCTACACGTAGAGGATGTAGGGATTTGGACCTAGTATAGGCGTTAGGATATAGAGCTCTGGGTCCTCATAGCCTCATAGAGTTGAGATTTTAGAGTTTTGGGGCACTTTGATTTCGATTTCGGGTTTAAGGTCTTTTCATCGATAGCAATGATCGTGAGATGGGATAATTATCACGAAGCTTAGCCTCCGGACCCTAGTACAGACTCTCATAGTGTTGGCGCGGATAGCAAGGGTAACATACACTGTGGGGCCTCAACTATTTGGATACTGCTTCAATTTTCTTGTAATTTCATGGGGAGCTCATAGAGCTACCAGTCCCCCAAAGGCTTCTCCTGCCTGCTTTCATCCCAAGCCAGGACTAATTACTTATGAAACTCCAGGAAAAGGTTCATGAAGCTCAAGTATTCAAGTTTCAGATTTTGGCCAGCCCTAAACCCTAAACCCTGCACCATGTAGATTGCATCAAGAGGAAGTGCAACAGTCCTGGTTACAATGACAATTCCACAGCCTTAGTGCAACACCTCAGAACCTACTTTCCCTGAGCCACAGAGCCCCGCAATACCGGAGCCGTCTACAACCTGAAACTTAAACTTTACCTGCACCTACGCCTGAACATCATGCAGGGGCCCAATCAACTAGAAGGCCCTTGTTTCAGTAGCTGACGACATGAATATGAGATAGCAGCTCGGGAGCATCTTTACGAACTGTCCCCGCTCGTCTGCAATCTAAAGTTCTGAGGCAACTGCCAGGCACTTGTCCGCAGCTGCCAAACGTCGCCTTTTGTGGAAGAGGATCTTCAGCCACTGGCGCAGCGGAAAAAAATCTTGAGGTTGAGGGGAGAGGGGTTTGTGGTATCGGGGATACGTCGGTTTACACAGTTTAGGGCTCAGGATGATGGTGTAATGTGCACAATTACAGCCTCTAGGGCTTACTTGTCTGCCTGTGTACAGAGCCTTCTATGAAGTGGCGAAAGCAGGTAAACGCCAAGACCATTCATTATTCAACGCTCGTCGCTTCTGCCAACATTTGCAAAAGCCTCTTAGCTTTACTGGACTGCTGTAAATGGCCATTTTGAAACTTGATGTGAGCTTCGGTTTTGATGTGGAGACGCTTAGAGCTTGGAGTCGAATGGCAAGACTCAAACTTATTAGGAGGACTTTCTTGTCGGTGCGCGTCTGGACTCTCGTACACGCATGAATGACCTTACGAAGCAGAGGTAAAGAAAGTGACATCCCAGACATTTTAAATTCATCCCCTCGCCCTCCATTCTGTGCATTGGTCAAACATAGGCCCCCCCCTACATACAACACCAAAAAAGGGCCCATGTTTTTGTAGAGAAACACGCCTCTGACACCCTGCAGAAGTTCAGGAAGGCGGCCCAAAAAACCACCTTTGTCGTGGGTCTGTCACGGACTGTTGCAAAACCATTTCTTGCTATAAACCCTTTGCCGCGCGAGTGCGGCCCAAGGCCTCTTACCATATATCATTCTGTAAGTACCCAAATTTTGGGGTTTTAGCCTAACGCCTTGTAACTTGGGCCCTTGAACCCTTTGGATAGACCTATGGTTGTAGAGCGCTCTACCCCACATATTCCTCGAGGCTAACCCTGTTAGCATGGAATGCCCCGCCTGCACTGTGGCTTGCATCTTGATCCTGCATGTCCTGACCTTCTTGGTAATGGCCTGGGCAAAAGACTCTTGTCACTTTCAACATGTAGATTCTGGAAGTCTAGGAGTTGGGGCTCCTCAAGCTGTGAGTACTGTGAGTACCTTTTGGGACCAGAAGGGATCAACCGGTAAAAGATACAGTAGTCTAGGATTGAGGAGCTCACGGTCACGCCTTGGAGATGTCAAATTATTGCGCCACGAAGTTGTAGGTTTTTCCTACATTTTTTCAAGTTTGCAATGGTACAGCACTTGGTTGAACGCAAGCCGCACAGATGCGCTTCGTGCTAACAAGGCTTCTATGAAGCTTCAAGGCATGGAATTGCCTGCGCCTGGACAAAAGCCAGCCGACCGTTTCCCAACCAACTGCCGCGTCACAAAACATCCCAAACAACTGCAAGCACAAAACCACCCAAACACGACAAAAGACCCATCTCGCTTCTGTTCCCTTTGGACTTTCCTCTGAACATGCGTGACAGTGAATCAAGGAATGGATAGCTACAACATGATTTTGACGGCAGCCATAAAAAACCTGATCCTTCAGCCGGAAGTTAGTTACACATGAAAACAAGTATAGCGCATGTTCAGGAGCCACGGGCTATTGCATAAATACTTGGGGTATGCGAAAACGTCGCGAAAAACAAAGCCATGGCAGAGCACATGAATATTCTGGCTAAGTGATCCTTGATGCATCACATACATGAGCGCAGCAAATTGTAGATACAGCACAGGACTCCAAGATCCAAAAGCTATGATTGCACTGAGGCTTTGAAGCTTAGCGTTCCTGAATTCTGTTGTGTTTACGAACTCTCGGAAGGGGCCTTCTTTTTTCTGGAAGCGACAAATGCGGATTCTCAATAATCGCTCCTGTCCTGCGTAAAGTCCAGGATTACTACATTGCCCTTAGATTGACCCTCTGCCGGGCTTGTTCATGTTTTCCAAGTCGGTCAACTTCACGACGGAAGTGCCTCAAGCTTCGCTTTGTCGTTGTTGCCACCGCTGCTGCGCCTCCCATTCTCGAGTCTTTCGGTGCCGTTTCGAGGAGGCTGCATATGGCCCGTACAGTCTCATACACGTTTCTGTAGTGACTCTTCCCATCCGACACTGCAGCTTACTGAAACTTTCCTGATTTTAAGGCTTGTGCTCTTCACTTCATTCGGCTTTAGGAACCCGTACCCCGTGCCTGAGTCCTGAAGCTTGAACTTCACTGACTCTAACAGACATGGAAGATGGACTGCACCTCTCCCTATGTACCCTTATATGGAGATTTCTGGAGAGAAGTATGTCATCTATCGGCACCCCTCTCTTCTCCACGTAATCCTGACATACCCCGAGTTCCTCCATGGGGCTGATTATCCTCTTTTGCAAAGCGCTCATTTGGGAATTTCTCCGAACCGCCCCAATAGAATAGAATCCTCTTGACCCCAGTTCAGATTCCCCTACACCCCTTTTTTGAGAAAGGTCCATATCACCCCCGTAAAGCTCATGTGCACCCTACACCCTAAGTGTGCAGGAACCCCAAGTTAACCCTCAGAGGTGACATTAATCACAAACGGCCTCTGCTGCGAGGCCCTTTTCCCCTGGCTCGCGCAACTTAGAACCTAAATCTGAACTTCATCATACACCCCAACTCCTAAGCCTATAGCCCTATTCTCTACCAATGCGATACGTCGCTGACGTTGGTAGATCAAACATTAACGCTACCACTACCAGTCCTCCTCCTCTTCCTCCTACTACTACTACTACTACTACTGCTACTACTACCACGACGATGATGACGACGACTACTTACTACAACGACGACGGCGACGGCGGCGAATACTGCGGCTGCTGCTGCGGCTGCTGCTAGTACTGTACTAATACTGTTACCATTCGTATTCTTATACCTACTAGTATGCTTACACATTGAACAATTGAATACCTATTACCATTGCTATTGCTATTCCTGTTACCTTGCGATTCTATGCAAATCATCGAGCCAAAAGTCGAAGTCCGATTTGGGATGGCTCCAGAGCATTGATTTGATACCCCAGATTGTCGTAGGATAAAGGCTCGGCATTGATGGCTGGGGCTTCGGGGGTTCATCAGTACGTTGGCATGATCTCATGGGAATCATCACCAACCCATCTTTAACACCACCCTTGTAGGGACACCCCACTTCCTTTGCAGATTATTGGTAGCTCTGAGACCTGGGGGAGTTCCTTCACAGGGCCTATGACGGACATGGCGCACACCAACACGTACTGTTCGTCTACATAGTGTGAGACCTCTCACTGAATAGAGGTATTTCACAAAAAGCTGGAACTCCCATGTGTCACACAATATGCATCCCGCTGAAAGCTTCTCAAAATCAAGGGGTCGTGGCGCGGGCGGTTGGCGCTACATTAGATGGGTATTGACGGGGAGCCTAATGTGCAATGCTCATTCATGAGGGTAGCTTTGCTTGTTGCGACCTTGTCCTCAATGCACAAAGAGTGTTGCAACATTATTCAGACTCACAACGCTTTATGCGTGAGCTCCCGCACCTCAATCAGGACCCTAACGGACTGCAAAAGAAAATAGCAACTACCGGATGACTGGGACATTTTCTATTGGCTCCATCCCTCACTTCCCTGCTGCAAGTAACCACCAGAAAGCCGGTTGCAGGACAAACAAGGCAGCGATGCCATCACCTGCGTTGCGCCCCTGGGCAAAGCGGGTAGGCTACGGGCACGTGGTTTTGAGGGCTACGAAGCTGCAAAAGGCACTTTGACACACTAAAAACTGAAGCTTTCTACGCAGTTCTGTGAGTATGCACATTATCTTGTAACTTGTAGCATTTAAGATACTTTACTGTAGTGTACTATATTATAGTACACTATATTGTACTGTATTATACTATATTATCCCGCATTATACTATGCTTCGTGATTGTGGTCCGCGTCCCACACGTAGGGGCAGATTTGGGCTTCTGGTGTGGGCTATAGTCTAAACTCCGAGTATCCTCCTTAATAATCCCTGTAATATAGGATTTAGAGTTTATGGTTTAAACCCCCAACCCCTAAACCAGGTCTAAACTCCTAGTATCCCCCCTTAAGAACCCCTATAACACTCCCCTATGTAACCCCCTATATAACCCCCCCTTAAGGGGTTTAGACTGTAGCTCATGTCATGTTTGGCCCTTCCGAAAACTGTGATACTGTAAGGGTGGTTTAAGAGCCATGTGAGCTTTTTCTATGGCTTTTACATCTACAAAGCTTCAGTTCTCCTTTCTTTTACTCCCTGGAAAAGAACATGGCAACTACTATCTTACCTGATATCACAATAGTCTGATTGTGTACTTAATTTCGTTAGATATTACTAGATTCAGTCACAGGTTCCATTTCCTTGCCCACTGTTGCGCTGCCCATCACCCAAAGCACACCATTCTAAATGACTCTGCCCCCAATAATCATCCACCCCCCACCACCTCATTACATATACTCCCAGTGAAGTGTAGTATAATTGCGTGAATATTCATCATTATGGAGCGCAGGGCTGAGTCTTGAACAGATTGGCAATATGACCTTAAGTTGCTTAATTACCCTAACACTTCGGAAATTAGGGTTCGAGCGGCTGAGGGTGCAGAAGTTCGTGCTTGTTTGGGAAGTACAGCGTGCACATACCATTAATGGATACATGCGAGATGTCCTAAGCAAGCCTCATCCTCAGGTTGCAAACTCCTGAAAAACTCACTGGTTGGGAAGCGTAGGTAATTTAAGCTTTCCCTTCAAGGAGCGAAGAATTCTGATAATGTGTGGGCATGTACGGTCAGAGTCTAGGGTACCACTTTAGGGTTTGGGCGGGTTGGGGCCGCCGAGACCGCGGGCCGCCGAGACCGCATTACAGAGATTTTCACAAGTGGCAGAAAGAAGCCTTGCAACTGCGCCAGCCCAAAAACACCCAACGTGAAGAGCCTACACACTTGTCGAATCTGCCTAAATGTTGTGCAAGGAAGGGGATCACAGGCAGATGTTCAGCTCCGTCCGCAACAGAATCACCAGCTGAAGAAGAAGCAAGGAGGATCCACAAAACACGGCTTCCGCAGCCGCCACCACCCCCAATACCACCGCCACCGCTGACCGCCGACCCACCTGTGCCACCCCTGCCATCGTGAACACTGCTAAAAGTCACGATGCTGGTAAAAACGATAATGCTAATAGTAATACTAATGAGGATTCGCGAATATGATGATCACGCTACTATAATAATGATGACGATACAAACTCATTAAAAGAATCTCAAGAAGAGGCAGGGTGCTACGTCATGGCTTTCGCGGGGCCTTGCCTGCCCCACCTCATGGTACTTTTTCGAGCGAAGACCTTCATGCTTTTTGTGGGGATCAGCAGTTTCCAAAGAAGTCAAACCTTTAAAGGCAGGTAGGGGTTACGTTGGGGTTATGTAGGGATTTCTCGGGCTTGGGCTTTCAAAATTACGAAAATGGGCCCTTCAAAGGGGATCTAGAGATATATGGGGATTTACAGCGTAGGCTTTAAGATATCCAAAAATGTGTGGGCTCCTTACACGGGGCGCCAATAACAAGGATCATACTTCTATGTATTTGGGGCCCTGTTTGTGGAAACCCCGAAATAGCTCTGCATAACCCCAGCTGCTCCTGCTTAACTTAGCCAGGAGCGTTCCCTAGAGTTTCAGGTGCATGTTGCGTGGCTGCGAGCTAGCGGAGTATCAGCTTAGAAAATTTGAGGTCTGGGACCTCAGAGTTGAATCTTGCTGGAATACTTTGCACGACCCTCACTGGGAATCTATATTGAACCTCCTTTCACGCGGCTTCTGCGCGTTTTGTCTATTCTAGAATTGCTGTTCAGGAACTTGAATTAAGTTGAAATCCCCCTATTTACGGTATATCCGTATTGTGGTAACTTTATTTAATTTCCTTGACAGCAACCCAGTAATACACTCCCCAACCCCCTGCGCACAAAACTGCCTCACTACATGGGGACCCCTCTTCCCTAGCCAAAAGTCTCAGTCCTTCACTCTGAATCCTAACCCTGAACCCCAACCTCCATACCTCAGGCCTCAAGCCTCAGACCCTATCCAAACCTCTCAAATGCCTGTAACAGCAGCCTATAAACCTTATATACCCATCATTTTGGAGCTAAAAGCCATGATCATAAGTATCTGGGAGGTCCCGGGATCCTTGACTAATGCAATGCTCGCCTCACCACTGTTTCGGCGGCTATGAAGGCCCTGGCAGAGAGCACTTCACTAGGAGATTCTAAAACATGAAGGGTTTCTGAAGCCCCCTCTGAAAATTTCGGGGGAAATCTGAAGGGAATATTGTGGAGGCTCCTGATGTGGGTTCGCAGAGGAATCAATCTTCAGAAGCTGAGGACTGTCGCAACATGAGCTATAGTCCAAACTCTGAGTACCCCCCTTAATAACCCCTATATAAAGTAGTCTCCTATATAATCTGCTATAGAACCCCCTTTAACGAGTGTAGAGTATAGCTCACATGAATGAGGCTACCTTGGGGGATATAACGAGGAGCCCATCTTGGAGATATTGTGTTTTCCAAAATTAGGGATACTTTTTGGGGAGTCCCCATAATAAGGATTACCGTTTAGAAAGACTGCCATATGTAAGAGCTTAAACAATGAAGGGAAACACCGCCCGCCTATTGACTTACTGGCGGTTAGCAGGGAAGAAGGGAATATAAGCCCTGTAAAACCCCCACATTCCATATTCCTTACTAACCCTCAGTATATACCCTCTTATAATGCAGTAGCTTCCATTTTCTTTCCCATTATCCCTATATCACCCCAATATCTTCCCTTTTCCCCTACGAACCCCTAAATCCTAAACCCTATACTTCCCTACTAACCTCCAGTAAGTGGCATATCCAAGGCTCGGAGGTTGAAAGCGCTATCTCTTCGCTCGTTTGCTGCGTGCAAGGCGGACACGTGAATACAATGTGGGGATCTCAGAACCATGTGAGCCATGGTCTAAACTCCTAATATCCCCCCTTCAATGGCCCCTGTAGTAGTCCCCTATATAACCCCGCTTGAGGAGTTTAGACTCTAGTTCATGTAGTGCAACATAGGACCTCTCCATGGATTATTGAGGAAGGCGGAGGCTATGTGGCACAGGCATTGAGCAGGATTTGATACAACCTACATCCTGAACCTTCGCACCCTGCACGCAGAATCAACGTCCCAAACAGTGGCTTTTACCCTTGTGCGCAACACTGCTGGGACTATCTCCACGTGCACATGCTCTTGAGCCGGGGCAACGCTTGCAGGCGCCAGGGCATGTGGAGAATCACGCTGAGCGGTTGATAAAGTCGTGCTCAATCCAAGGGTTGCTGGTTGCTTCGCAGGCTGATTCTTTCACAGCCCCAGCATCCGAAAGCAGTTTCACAATCTCTTCGTGGCCTATGCCGGCTGCGCTCCTAAGGGCTTCGCTCGCGAGCTGACCCTGCAGGTCTTCACTTGTACAAGATTCCAACAACAAGCGTGCAACCTCCGCGTGACCATTGCGAGCTGCAAAGATGAGAGCCGTACTGCTGTACTCTCCTTGAATGTACTTGTTAGCGCCAGCTTCCAACAGCAACCGGGCGATGTCCGTGTAGCCATTTCGGGCCGCATTGATCAAGGCTGTATTTCCGAAGCGATCCGGCAGATCCTTGTCAGCACCAGCTTCCAACAGCAGCTGCACTATCTCCTTGTGCCCACTCTTAGCTGCATAGATGAGATCTGCCTTGCCTGCAGCACTTCTTGCTCCTGTCATTGCGCCAGCTTCCACTAGCAATCGTGCAGCCTTCACGAAGCCATCCCTGCAAGCAACGGTGAGCTCACTGGCAGCCGCACTCTGAGTCTCCGTGGACACAGGCAACAAAACTAGTTGTACGTCGATGGGCGCGTCCAGCTTGCTAGCATTATCCAAACCGCTACCATTGTGCAGGAGCTGTTGAAGGCACAGCGGGAAGCCATGCTGTTTCTTCAGAGCATACTTCAGGGCGATAACGTCTTTGACCGAATCCACGCTCACGGCTGCCAGCTCTTCCCCAGAAATGTTCCAGATGCGAATCATATCCGCAAAAAGGATGCGTATTGGCAACAATATTCATAGTAGTGAGAAGTATTGGTAATAACAAGAACCGTTTTAATCGTACTACTATTCCTATCAATAGTCCACTAATATTCAACAATACTAGCAGTTTATGTTAATAGTAGTAGCCATGGTACATAAGGGGGGCACGTAACATCGAGGTACGGGATTACTTGACTCCAGAGGTCTTGACTAGTCATTGGGCCAAGCCTAAGTCAGAGGCTTCCCGAGTTCATTAACATGTAGGACTGTGCTTAGGGTTTTGGGTCTTTTTTTTGTTTCAGGTTTAGGGTTAAGGGTTAAGGCGCTGCACTTCTGGGCTCAAAGCTAGCTCAGCAGGGTTTGAAATTGAGGGCCTTAGGGTTTCAGCGCTTTCTCATGAGTTTGATTTCTCCTGCAGATGCGCCCTTCAACACTACAAGCATGATTCATTACAGCCAGCCAAAATGATATAACCTCAATCCAAGGAACCCACTTCTCATCCCCCCCAACAAATAAATCTATGACTATTGCCACTTCTATTCTTTTCTTCAAGGCGAAAGCATCTTCCAGCTCGGGGCGCCTGTGTCTTCTCTTGAAAGCTAGGGGGCCAGGGAAACAGACTCCTAGACCTTCCAACTACCCGTTATGGCCTTCATACCCGCTGTGAGGGATTCTCAGGGCCTTTTGAAAACTACTTTGGGGATCTTGACTCATGGAATCTACTTGGAGGTTCAGAATTCCCAGAACCGCATTAAAACTTTGGCAATGGGAAACATGATGAATCGTTCTATTCGTCATACTTGGGTTATAACAGCAACCAGGACTGGTTCAGATAAGTACACTGAACCCTATAAACCCTACAAGCCAACAACCTACATCCTTAACATTAACCTCAAACTTCAAACCCTTCGATCGCAAGTTGGCATCCCTAAGCCCTAACCCTAAACCTCTTTACACTGCATGTCTCAAGTTGCACCTCCGATTCTCAAACAACAGCTCTCTGGGGCATAATGTCGAAGCCTTAATGTTTACCAAGGCTTTTTTTAAAGCGCGTATAGGGGTTCCGTGTTGAGGGGCCCGCCACTGGTTGTGTTGGAACTCATAACGTAGATTTATATCTATAACTATGTTTGTATGTATACACGCTGATCTACACATATCTCTATGTAAAGGTCTATACAATCTCATAGGGTTTGGGGGCTATATTGTACTCCAGCGATAAAAGGGCAACATATCCGGTGTCTACATTATAGATGTGTGTGCATGTCAAGCCAATGGCATTGTCAGGTTTCGCAATGCACTTATGCGCAAGTAGCACTCTACGCCATACTGCAAGCCCAAGTAATAACAGGACAAGGTGCAAGATTTGATTGCCATGCGAATCCAGGTCATCACATCCCGCAAAGACAACACACAACAAGAATTTGGCGAAGTGACCTGTTGACAAATTCGGAGGGTCCTGTAACGAAAGGCTTGAACAACAGTCACTAGGGGCCTCAGATCCTAAATGCCTGAACATCCGCAACCTAACAGCTCTAAGGCCTGAAGTCCCTAGCTAGCACTAAAGCCAGCAAGATTGCAGCCTTTAATTGCATATCAATGTGTTTAAAACGAACTAGGTGCTCATCCAACCCCCTTGCCCAAGAAAAACCTGAACCTTAGAAATTGTAGTGCTCAATAACAAAAAGTCAACAAAGGGCCTACATGGGCACATTTTTTGACTTAAAGCTACAGCCTAAACCCTACACCCATAACCATCTTCGTAGGGGTCGCAGCCTCGTCTGAGCTGCCCAGACTTTCGTTTTCGGAGTCTGAGAAGTCGTAGCGAGAGTCGTTCCCCAGCATCTGTGTTGAGGGCAAAATTCATGCAAGGGTTCAGGGTTTAAACTTTGGGGTTTAGGATAGACTGTAGGAATTAGCTAAACCTCCCAGCCACCCATAAAAACATAGACATCATGTCCTTTGTTTTGGGGGCCATGAGGCTGTAGGGCTAGTACTTGGGACACGTGCAGAATAAGCCTTAAGGATCGCTTCTCGAGCAGGATTCGTGCTAAGCTTACTGGTGTTTCAGGAGAAGGAATGTAGGAAGGGATTCTGCAGGGAGTATGATAGGAGTCCCCTTAAGCACCAGTAAGTAGTTTGTAGCAGGGGAGGAATTGAATGGCCTGAAAAACCATGTTGGGAAGTCCCTATACGTAAGCATGACTGCAAATTTATGGTGCCATGTGCAAATGTATTAGTTGGTACTTATAATTCAAAGGACATCACCCAACGACCTCAGGACGCCCATCGTGGCCTCCATACAACATTGGGCCATTTTTCGGTCGGCCAAGCGGGCTAAGTGTCGTTACTGATTACAGACTCGGGCCCCTTACAACCCTAGTCTGAATTTGAGATAGGACCAACCATACTATTAAGTCTAGTGAGTATGACTACAAGGGAAGAATCTTTCTCAATTACAATTGCTTTAGGTTTCCGAATACCCGCAGTTCAATATGGAGTTGCCAGCAGGTGGACAGGCCATTAATTTTCGCAGCTCAGCTTACCACAGGAACGGCCACGTGTATCCATCTGTCGGTCTCCAAACATCCTTATTCGGAATCCCAACATAGTGATCATAGTAATACTACTAAGAAGAACAGTAATCAAACTAGTACTGATACTAGCAATGATAAGAGGGAAGTCGACGAACCTTGGAATTTTGGGTGAGGAAAAAGATATTCCACACACAGAGGCGAAATCATCCAAACTCAGCAGTCAAGGATAGCCTCTTGAAGGGGCTTTGCTGACAAGTATGGTCGCCTGCTCTGCAACAAACACTGCACTATCCATAATTCTGATCAGGACCTTCAAGCCCAAAATCCCTTAACCCTCATGACACAAATCCCTAACACCCCTAGACACAGTTGCTATTCTTCCCACTCAAATCTTCATTATGATTGGGGTAATGTCCCTAAATTCTAAATGGTAGTTCCCATTTTCTGTTCCAGTCCTATATATCCCTAAATAACACCCATACCTTTTTTTCTACATAATCTCCATACATTTTTTTGATTTAGCTCCTGGATGGACTGGGGCTGCTGGCAGGGTTTCCATTTCGGTCCACCATGCCGTAAGCTCGGCAGAGGTAGAGCGGGCAGTCGCTCCTCTGCGGAATTCTGTCTGGAAGCATATAGATTCATCATTCCCTTGGGGCTGGATTTCGGGTTTCGGGTTTAGGGTTTAGGTAGGGTTTAGGGTTTAGGTGGGCTTCTGGGTTTAGGGTTTAGGGTCCATGAAGACTAGGGTTTGTATTTTCAGGCATCAAAGAAATCAGAGCTGATGTAAGGGAATCTTCGCCAACAAGCCAGGATTACACAAACTGACAAGCACCGAAACCGGTGTTTCCAAAATGGGAGGCTTCTTGTAGACCCCCTTCCTACTACTGACCCAGAAAACAGACTTCCTACTTTGTGCCAATAAACCCTCGCATGGAGGTTTCCAAAAATAGCATGGCCAAATGTAGATCACAGTTTACTAAACCCCATTGAGAAAAGCGACCCCTCACTCCCAAAACAACAAGACATGGATTCACAAGACCGCAGGACTATTGTGATTTCAACGAGCAGCATGGGCACATTCACTATACACTACTGCCGCTGTTCACTTGCAGTCTACCTTGATTGGACCGGTACTATCACCATTCTATATACCCGCAGCTTCCATTGGATTTTCTATTCTGTTTTCCATTTGATTCTTCATTATTAGGGTAGCATACCCCTAAACCCTAATAACATCCACCTTCAGCATGCAAGCCCGCCTCTACCCATCCTGCAGCATCCTTCAACCCTGTTCACTGCTTCCGTGCCCTTGAGAGGCAAGTGCTGTATGCAGATCTCCTCATGTTTCGGAGCTTTTGCCGGATCTTCTGGGCCTGAGGATCATGCTTGGAGGGTCAGGGGGACTGAGTAAATAGGTTAATTGTGGATAATTGGGGTTATTCTATGGCTTATAGGGGTTATAGGTACACTTCTAAAGTCCCCCTGACCCTCCAAGTGGCTTAGGGATTAGGATTGAGAGCTTCTTGGAGCCGGTGGCATAGTCTCGAAATAGTATCCAACAAGTCCGTCAAGACCAAAGATTTGAGTCAGGCTTCAGCAGCAGTGCCATACCTATTAAGCAGTAAACAAGACAACCGCGTTGGTTTTTTGTTTAGCTTCCAAGCCGTAACGTCTCAATGCAGTATGAGAACATTCTGGCGTGACAGTATGCGCAAGGCGTGGAGCGTCCTACTTAGCTTTGGTGGGTTGCGGATTTAGGGCTTAGTAGGGATGGCTGTTTGTTATACAAATCATGCAATCTTGGGTCTTTCTCCAAGCTTTCTTGCTTAAGTCATCCCGCGCTTCATTCAAGAAAATGGGAAGTCATGGCTCCAATTTGCTATTGCAAGCCGCCGGAAGGGTCTGTCTTACACATCCCCTCTTCAAGGGTCTGCCTTAGAAATCCCTTGTACTTGCAGGATAACAAGGGTTACTACATGGGTTATAGGGGTTATTAGCCTACTTACTAAGACCGCCTGACCCTCCAAGTAGCTTCATCGTGCATCACAAGGAGAAGCATAACTGGGCCCGACATCACGTGACATGGCAAGTTCGGACCTGTTTCAATGCACTGCAGTTGGCACAAAGGCATCAGTTGATTGGAAAGTAGTAATGGTAATAATAATGGTAAGAATAGTAATGATAGCAATAAAGGAATAATCGCAATAAAGGTAATAATACTCATAAACACAAAAATAAAAGTAATACTACTAAGCAAGTAACAGCAGTACTAACAGTCGAACAATAGTTGATAGTAATACTGGGCCCCCTTGACAAGTGCTGAGCTCCAAGCTAATTGCCCATCTCGCCTTTCCTGCAAGGATTTTGACAGGAGCGGTTCTAAAACCCACAATCCCCCTTGTTGTTGCCATTACGAGCTGATTTTTGGGAGTACACAATGACACCATGATGCTCAGAAGCAGTGTTGTCTACACGTTTCATATTTGAGCAGTGCCTTCAGCTGTGCCCAAACTTGCTGCAAATGTCATTGACCCAGCTTTTTGAAAGTTAGATTGGTCGAAGACGGGTCATGGTGTCCGTAGCTCGTGCCAGGACGCATCGTGTGTAGTATCGCTGGAGCATGCTACTGAAGATGAATTGGCCAGGAAGGAACCAAATCTCAAATGGCCCCAAACCTTCCCACTACCGTTGTTTACGTACAGTTTCCTTGGCCGCTTTGCCTATACCATACATCCGCCAACCTGCATCTCTTACTTGTCAAATCATACCCTAAAACTTTAAAAAACATCAACCCTGAATAGGCCTGATAACCCTAAGACGCCAACACCCCAACACCCAAACCTGAAATCAGAAACCCCGAAGCGGGGCGCAACTCGCCTTGGCCACAGCTTGGCGCTCCTTTGAAGCTTCTAGAAACGTGCCCAGATTCCGAAGTTTTTGGTTTTTTGGGAGTGTGCTTACTTGGAGGGTCAAGGGGATTCAGTAAGTAGATTAGGAACTACCCCCTATAACCCATATTAATAACCCTAGTTATCCTAATTACCAACCTTATCCCCCCCAGCCCAGCTATTATTAAATTCTCCCAATATATTGTTATTTGTGGGGAGTTTAATATTAGGGCCTGAGGATTGAGAACACGGCTGTGCAGAGGAATTGCAAGGATTCTAAGCAATCATCCATTGTGATGCCTTGTCCCAGTGAGGTATCGTGACATCATTCTTCTTGAGGGAGGGCATCTCAATCCCAAATCTAGCATCCTACTGTACTTGAGAAGTTCAAGGCTGGGCTTTACCAGCGCCTTATGCACTTGACTTGCCGGAGGATTCCGGCTGCCAAGCCCTGCACCTCCAAACCCTCTGTAGAAATCCTCGAGTGCGTAGGGCCTGAGCCTTGGCAAACCAGTGAAATGTTATTTTGATATATCGTCCCCCTTAAGTAGATAGAATATGGGGTATATTGGGGTTATACAGGGATAATGGAAAAGAAAATGGAAGCTACTATTTAGGGTTTAGGGTTTAGGATTATAGTCCCCCTTAGGTAGATAGAATATGGGGTATATGGGGATCTTATGAATAAATGCCCAAAGCCAGATTCTATCTACTTAAGGGGGACTATACTCCAGGGTCTTGGGCAGCTAACTGACCTCGACCTGAGCCTGAGGCTTCTCACGAACAAGCAACTGTTTGCAAATCTCAGCAACGTCACCCCGAAAACCTGTTTCAACCATTCCCTACTTTAGAGCAGCAAGAGTCTCCAAACCGTAAAACCACAAAACCTTACGAAACCTAAATCCTACACTTCCAAACTCACAGCCCTAACCCCCGAAACCCTATGCGTCTCTAAATATCCCTATACCCCCATATACCCTTCAAAGGGGCCCCCTTTCTTGACCCTGAGGATTCTGACCTCCAACGACACGGAGTCCAAGACAGAGCTCGAGAAGAGCCAGCTACAGGACTGGCGCGCGTTGCGAAGACCGGCTTCGGACTTAAGGGTTGGAGGGTATAATGGAAAAGAAAATGGAATTTACTGTATTATAATAGGGTTTAGGGTTTAGGGTTGTATGGGGATAATGGAACAGAAAATGGCAACTACTCCTTAAAGGCGGGTTATGTAGGGGAATATACAGGAGACTACTATGAGGGATATTAAGGGGGATACTAGGAGTTTAGATTATAGCTCAGAAAGGGAGAATGGAAAAGAAAATGGAAACTACTGTATTATGATAGGGTATATATTGGGGTTATATGGGGATAATGGAAAAGAAAATGGAAACTACTGTATTATAATAGGGGTATATATTGGGATTATATGGGGATAATGGAAAAGAAAACGGAAACTACTGTATTATAATAGGGTATATTATTGGGGTTATATGGGTATAATGGAAAAGAAAATGGAAACTACTGCATTACAATAGGGTATATTATTGGGGTTATACGGGTATAACGGAAAAGAAAATGGAAACTACTGTATTATAATTGGGTATATATTAGGGGGTTATATGGGTATAATGGAAAAGAAAATGGAAACTACTGTAGCAGGGCTTAGGCCTCAGGGCTTTGCGCAGTTTTGGGCTTAGAGGTTTAGGGTTAAGGGTTTAGGGTACACTAAAAGTCATTTCCGGGCCACTTTGTGAGCATCACGTAGCATGGAAAGAACCTCGTTTTAAGAACCACTCATGCGAGTACGTAGAAAAAGCCGCAGTACTCGCACCTGCATGCATCATGAGTGCTGGCAGGCTTTCGGAAATTTGGCGCACGGTTCGAAAGCTAACACGAATCTGGTAGAGCGCAGAGGAACAATTTCTCATGGAAAGACTAACAGTTTATCATGCAATCCCTTACGTCAGGCATCTTGTATTTCCCGCCTGAATTCAGAGGCCTTGACCTGTTCCAAAAGCAAATGCCAATCCAAAACCCTCTCCTGAACTGGTTGGCGCAATCGAGAAAGGTCAAATACATGGCTGGTGCTGCCAACATGGAATGTTGCACCCTGAATCACTACCCAAACCTCCTTGTGCCAAGTCTTTCTCTGGGTGCGATCGGGAATGGTTCAAAGCGCCAAGGTTCAAAATGAGGCACCTTTGGTGGTCTTTGTGCTGAAAGTGGCCCCATGCTTATCCTCAATCGGAATATTTTTTGAGGCCCTCTATTAAGAATTATATCATTTGGTGTTCTATTTTGGGTCCCCTATATCTCGAAAGTACTATGTTCCATCCCTGCCAACCGCTAAGAGAAGCGACGACTATTTCCCACCCTGCCTCGAACTTACTGCCAGAGCAACCTTGCGCAGCGAAGCTTGTTGTTCTTGCTGTTGTTGCTGTCGTCATCGTTGTCGTCGTTGTTTGGGAAGGAGTAGGAGTAATAATGATACGAATACCGGCAACCCTAAGAGTAACTGAAGCAGAGTATTTATGAAAATAACAAAGCCATGACATTTTGATGGGTTCAGGTTCGATGATGCTGTCAACTTCTAGGAATCATATGCAGTACCCCGGGGCTCTTGCTAAGGCACTTGCATCACAATTCCCGCATTCGAGGACTCTTATAGGGTGGGGGCAGTATCCAGGGTTATTATCATTGGGCTCAATCCGTACTTATCAGCCCCCCAAAAGGCTTTATGGGGCTTACCCGAAATATTAGTCCGTGTTAGAATCTGTTAGAATCCCAGTTATAAGTAGTCACTAAGCCCAATGAGCAGCAGGTTCAGGTGGAAGGCTTAATTTGGGCTTCTTGGCATCTTAGCGTCTGGGGTCGGTTGGGGTCTGGAGATACTTGATACCAGCCCTTGTAGAAGGGCTTGTTCAGGCTGCTTTGCCGGGTATAAACTGAGTCACCGTCCATTCTGATCATGAGACCTAAGCGCCTGCTTAAAACATCCGCTTGTTTAGGGTTCAGTATCAGTACCATCATGGATTTCCAAAGGTTGCCAGTTGTGTGCACAATTTCCTATGATCACTTAGACGCCAAAATGTTGCAGCCTATCAAAGGCATCCCCATTGTTTAGACACACACAAATCCAACCTCTTATCTGTGAAATTAGTACCAAGGCCCACCACGGCCCGGCCCTATAGCCCCGAGACAGAAATCACCTCAAGAGCGCAAGTGGCCCTACCTCAGCAGGACCTTTTTTGAGATGTCGTTTTTCTTCTATAGCTGTGCTGTGTTTAGGGCTAAGGTTTTAGATTTAGGTATCTTCTGCATGGATGTGGCAATCTGGCTATCCAATCCCCACTCAGCTTACGATTCTCTGCCAGCTCGACACTCATAGAATAAGTTGTTCAATCGCGCCCGACATCTACCCTGAACCGTAAACTGTGTTGAAACTCATTAAGCGACAACATGACGCGCTGTGAAACCTCTGAAATGCAGGAAAATCGACAGAACAAAATGGTAATAACAATGGTGCTGATACATAAAGCTAGTAACGATATTGATGGTAATCATAGAGCAAAAATTTCACTGATCCCTCACACCTGCTGTGCTACGCTCTAGGCGTCCCTGCTGCTTTCCATTGAGCGAGTGCTCGGCTTCCTTGGCCATACTTGGTGAGATGCGACAGATGTGTAGATCTCGGTTCCACATGGGCGGAAATCTCCAGCTCTCTTCTGTGCTCTGAAGCCTGGACGTTTCCTGTACTGGTAAACTATCGCGTTTCATCGACATAGGAGAGGATTCCCTGCTATTTGGAACCTCCCGAACAGGACCTTTATCTTTTTGTAATGCATAATTATTCATGACTCAGGTGAATGCGGGGTTTCATAACTTCGAATAGGGAGCTACATGTTCCTGTCCAAAGGACCCATGAGCCAAACTATACCCTTGCGCACTCTTGTACCCTATGAGCTCCATGCAGAAAAGCCAAGCATCTGCGAAACATGAAGTAAGATCCTCACAAACCCATTAGAACATGATGAAACACCATGTCTGATGGGGTGTGCTCTACAGTTAGAACTGTATATGCAGCCTAAAAGTGTAGAGTCCATAGCGACAGCCAACGTCAGTCTGTCAAAGCTCAAAAGTTGTGCTTAGCCCTAACGGTCCGGATACTCAAATAAAAGTGGTCCCAAGTGGGTTCCTAGATAGGTACTTTGGGCCCTAATTACGCACTATTTAAGTACTGGGACCCTTAGGGTAGCATGCTTCCACCTAAACCCAAAGCCCCAAACCTTACACCGAGCTACTTCGTCTTCTCCTGCCAACGACGAATCTTCAGCATTTCGGAGACCTTTAGCGTTGAATGCTTGGCTTTGAGCTTTTCGGGCTTGTCGGGTGCACCTCGGGGTTTGGGGCTTGGGGTTTCGGATGTAAGGTGTGGAATCGTGCAAGTCACACATGCGGGATGGTTTCTTAACTTGTGGATTGGTTTAGGGTTTTGGGCTTAGGGGTTACTCTAGACCCTTAGGGCTTAGGGCTTAGGGTTTCGGGTTTAGGGCTGAGGGTTTGGGGCTTCTTCTGATTCAGGTTTCAGGCCTTGGGCGTGCCCAGATTTCTGCGGTTTGGAGGGGAAGGCTAATTTTAAGTCCTACACATTTTAGCCACCAAAACATCCACTGTCCGTCTTGCTTGTTCTCTAAACCATATACCCTAAACCTTAAACGCTAAACCCTAAACCTTATACCCTAAATCCTGAGACCGGGTACGAGGCATAATATTTCCTATGTGACTATGCCCCATACTTGCGGCCCGCTGCTGCCTTTGAAACAACTCAGATCTGAACGCAGCCCAGCATTGGAAACAGAACTTTCATACAGTATCATGGTAGCAAACACATACATACACGAAACAAACAATGAAACCGCCTACATGATCTTAGCTGCCACCTTTACTCCCCACACTGCTGGCCTCTTTGTCACAATCGTGTCCAATTCGCTTGCTAGACCGACCACCAGATTTTCTAAAGACCTCCATCCGCAAACCCTAAACTTTAAACCAATCTCAATCCAAGCTAAAAATGAGGGAATATGGGGGGTTACTTGAGGCATTGCATAGGGATCATGAGTCTGGCGGACGTTTGATGATAAGTAAGAAGACGTCTCCGATGGGCAGGTTTGATGTTCCAAGCGCATAAACACGTCACCCTAGCAAGTGCCTCCGAGCACCCCTAATAATGCTACGTACCTACATACATACATACCTCAATATGGTACCCATATCTATGAAGGGGAGTAGGCATCATTCAGGGGGTGCTTCCGATTATTGGGAGGGGATTTGTGTACACGTCCGCAGAAATCCTGATGTTAAGCCAGCAATGGCCATGTTCTGATCCCCATCAACTAAGCTGAATTGAGAGTTTGTGGAGTGCTACATACCGGAGGCAAGGGCGGATTGTTTTTTTTCACGAGTTCTGGCTCTGCGAGGACCTACAAATCACTTGAGCTCGTAACAAAACCCTTCTACAAAGGCAATAGATTCTCAGGGGAGGGTTTCAGTGATGTGTTAGGCCCGGGCATTCAAGTGCTGATGTCTGCGAGAGGCCAGGGTGCTCTGTACCCCTGAGCCGCTTGGCCCTGTTGGCCTGCACCGCCAGTATTGTTCACCACACCTCTCGAACTCCGCTGCTTAAACTCAGGTCGTAATACAGGGGCCCTACCCCCTTGAAGGGCTCTGCAGGCGCAGTGCTTGTGGGAAATATGCTAGCGGTGGAGGGGCCTGCTGCGGTTATGGCCCTTCATAGATGCTACAATAGCTTTCGATAAACAGCTTGCTTCAACTGATGGGTCAGGAAACCCTTGAGGGCGGATGATCTGGCAAGTAGAGGACCACTATAACAGTAATGGTACCAGTGATACCAACAGTCATAGAAATGCTAACTACCAATTTTAACCTAAACACAACGTAAACCCTAGCTTTCAACTAACACTGCCCGCAACTCTTACATGCTTAGCCACACACCTAAGTTGTCAAATCCTGCCATCGAATATTGACGCCCTGAGCCCTGATACTCGATGACGTTCGTACTGTACGGTACTATCTATTTTGTATTTTGGGAATATCTAACATTAGAGTGGTGGAGGCTTTATTATTGAGGCTTGCCCCCCCAAAGAATGTAAAACGGGGCCCATGTTTACTATGTTCAAGGGGTTTGGGCCGTTATTTGACCTGTTCTTAGAAGAATGACCTATGTTTAGAATCCCGGTGCCCTCTTCCAAACACACCAACTTGGGGGAGAGGGACTGGGACGAAAGCTAGAGCAGGATCTAAGTGGAACAATCCAGATGCGCACTCTTTCCTTTTACTACTGGTAATGAGGAAAGCTGCAGGGCATAAGCTCGTGATTGATGCCTAAATGTGTGGCACTCAAACAGTAGGCATTGTAAATGTAGGTGCCTACATTAACTGATCTAGTCCGCGCCAGTAGTCTGCTATACTCTAGTAGATACAGCATGTACGTATGTTCAAACACAAGCTGGGCTTGAACGAAGGCCTGGAATCTTGAACGAACCTTGTCCAGGGTTCATGCGATGGGTCGACCATGTACTCTCTTGCCTGTAATGCACTTGTGACGCGTTCTTTCCTGTTCTTTCGCACCCATTTTATCCGTTCTTTTGAGCCAACAAAAGGTGTTCTTTACGTGTTCCTTCAAGGTCGGATACGGGGTTCTTTACCTGTTCTTCAGGGGTCAGAAAACGACCCCCCCGACCAGACAACTGAAAACCCACAAAAGACCGACCAGACAACTGAAAACCCACAAAAGAATGACGACCCACCGGGGGTCCCACCACCCACACCCCTTGTTGCAAGCTAACGCTCGATAAGAAACTCAAGCTAGACCCGGAGGCTAGCTTTCGCGATGTTCCTAAACCCCACACTTGCTGGGTATTAAGTTACTAGAATCCGAATATTTACCATATACACATATTCCTATTAATATGGTCATTTGAAACAAGTTCCTTAACAGCAACTCAGCTTTAGAGGCTCGGCGTGGTACTAAAGATTTCCCCACCTGTTGCACTTTTGCAGGTCTGCTTCTCTGAGCAGCCGCGGTAAAGGCCGATGAGGCAAGTCTGAAGCCACATGAAGGCGGCTACATAGGGGATCATGTAGAGTATTGTAGGGGTTATTAAGGGGATACTTGGAGTATCTAGCTCACATGGATCCTTGAGGGAATCTTGCTTAAACAGGGGGCCCCATTATCATAATCAATTCGCCCTACTTAGCATCTTAGATAACCTAAACGAGGTGGGGACCCTGGGGACGGTAGCATAGGGGGGTTCCTAGGGGAATCCATAACATTAGGGCATGCAAGCCCTAAACCCTAAATCCTGTGGATGTGTAAGGTTTGGGGTGTAGGGCTGCCGGAGTTCTCCGTGGGGGCTATTGAAAAGTCTGGGTTTAGGGTTTAGAGATGTGGGTAGTGCAACTACACGGGACTGTTCAGAAACTCCCAGGAAGAGATGGGGTTTAAATGTGCAAAGATTGGGCTTCGGGCTTTAGCGTCAGCAGAATTCAGGGATGATTAGCCCGTATGCAGTCTTGCAGGCTCTTCGTACTGGTGTCTGGAGTCTCATGGGGCCTTTGGTTCTGCAACTGCGTTGCTTTAGGGCACTTGCCTTTTTTGGACTCCTGAGTACACAGCAACCCCGTTGGTCAACATCAGGGGTCAACTCTGAAGGTTGCTGCAACGAGGACTTAACCGCTTTCGTAGCGTTGCTGTGAATGAACTTCTGCTAAGATACCACAAGGAGTCCTAGTTACACATTTACTATACATATATAGTTTAGTTCAAGTTCCTTGAAAGCAATCCAATACTTGGAGTCAGCTTCAAATTCCTGGGCCTCGAAGTGCCTGGACCGGCCGAGACCACCCTGCACTCGCAACAGTAGGGGCATGCATCGATCTGGATCGGAGCACCTGTGGGTACATTCCAAGATTATGAGCCACTGTGGACAGATCCACAAGTTGCAGAGGGTCTGATCCCGTGCCCGCCAAATGGGACCCATAATCTTGGCACGTACCCATTTGTCCAAAAATCAAAAACCATCTGTTGGAGGCTGCGCCGCCAGTCCATTCCTTCTGCAGTGAAGTATCTAGCTTCCAATGGCATGACATTTGCCCTGAAGCCCCCTTAAGTCTTATAGTAGTTTCCATATTAGTTTGAATTATCCCCTGCATGACCCCAGTACACTATAGTAGCTTCCACTTTAATCTCATCATCCTAATACGGTGGATACTAAAGATCCTGCATGACCCTGAAGACACTAAACCTTGGGAATAATGGTGCTATAGTATACTAAGGTCATGCAGGATTTTTTAGTATCAACAGTTAAAGTTAGGGGCCCAGGCTGCTGCGCTGACTGCAACGTGGGCAATGCAGAGCATCCCGCTATTCTAGGGTTTACCCAAGGGCTCCTATGTAGTTGCTTTTTGGGTTTGTTATTGTTTTTTGGTACGGGATTATCATAGAGTACCCAAAAAGGAACTACATAGGAGGGTCTGGGTAGGGCTTAGGGCTTAGCGTACCTTGCTGCGGACTGACAGTTCTGTCAACATGTAAATGAAATTGCCAAAAATCTCGGGATCTACGTAGCCGAGCTGCCCTGCAAAGGACAGCAAGAGTAACAGGATCGGGAATGCTTGTAGCTACGAAGCAAATGAAGATTTGTATCGTAATTCCCTTCCCCGCATCATACTGATCAGCAACTCCCCCCACTCCCCCAACCCCTAACCATAACCGTAGACGTCCCTATAACAGCTTTAGTATAACACTCCTTTGAAGGAGCCTAAGAAGCAAAAGGAAAGGTTCCCGCCGAGCCGTGAGGTACAACCCCTGGCCAGGCATGGAAGGAAAGCCCACAGCGGCGAACAACCCAGACCCCTAAAGGATCTTTATATATTACGATGGTATAAAGTGTTTAGGGTTATATAATGCTATGTAAGGATACTCTTATATCATGGTGGTATATAGTGCTTAGGTTTATGTAGTGTTATGTAAGGACTAGATAGGGGTTATGTCTGCAGGGATTATATGGGGTTTACGTATATTCCCGGCCCTTGCTCCCTACTAAGAGCCAATCACTTTTGGGGGGTCTGGGAAGAGCCTGAAGATCGAATTCATGCAGCCCACACGGCCCCAATTTCCATAGCCCTGCCTGAAAAAACAATTCAGTAGCTCGATTCTGGTGTACTTTCTGGGTTTAGGGTGACACTGTGGATTAACACCCTAAACCCCAAACCCTTGGACACCCTAAACCCTAAATCCTAAAACTTGGGGCATCCTAGGTAGGA